CGAATCGACAGCCCTTGGAGAGTTATTTTCTGTATATCAATATTTACCTCCAAATTCAAGTGACAGCCTTGTAAGGTCAATGAGAAAACAATGAATAAATGATGTCTTCCAACTGTGGCTCTTATGAATTGCATTAGAATTTCAACCTTTTATATTCTTGCTGCTAAGGTTGTGGAGAGGTCAAGTGTAGAGGCAAGTGGAAGATTTTGTTCATGACATTCATTCTCACTCACTTTCAGTTTTCTCTTCTGGTTCGGTCGGTAACGTGAGCAGGTCTTTAATCCTAATCCTGTTGCACATGCATCCATCAGTGGCTCAAAGGACAGCCAATAAGAAGTGAGAGCCGAGTGCCAAGAACAGTTCTCTGGCAGCAGCGGCTGAATGAGACAATAGCAGTCAGAAAGACTGAGACGACTTGTAGACGTCTTGATGCCAGAACACCAGATATCCTGTTACTCCCTTTGCCAGAACTCACTGCCAATGTTTAATTTGAGTAAGGACATGAGGTTAATTTGTCTCCAGAATCCTTCAGGAAATAACCAAGATGATGGTCACGTTTTGGCTGAATGAAAACAATTATGTAAAGGTCAGTCTTAAAGGATTAGTTAACATCTGACATCATTCGCTCATCCTCATGTCTTTCCAAACCTGGAGCACGAAAGAAGATATTTTGAATGTTTCAACAGTTTTCATCAATACAATGAAAGTCACAGGGGGCCAAAACAATACTGAACCCTAATGACTTTCATTGTATGGACATTTTTCAAAATATCTTTCATTTTATATTGTCTTTTTATATTTTTGTCCTAATCTGGGTAAGGACACAAGTTTATTTTTCAGAATCCTTGAGGAAATAACTAAGATGATGGTAATGATTTGACTGTACGAAAACCCCGGAGCAGATGTAGACAATAATGACTCCTAAGCGATTGAGGTGTTCTGTTGTTGGATGTAATAATGAACATAGCAGTCGTCATTTACTCCTGATATCTGAGCCGCTGAACTCGCAGTGGATTACATTGTTTCTGACGGGAATGCGCCCCCGATCTACATAAATGTGTCTATGTTCGCGCGAATCATTCATGATCCAGCCTCATCTACAGAAGAAGTGAGTATAATGTTTTGTAATGAATCTTTGCAAATCGCCTTTCCTAATAATGTGCTAATTAGCAAGTTTCACGATGAATGCGGCTGAAGTAAACAGTCTCTCTGAGAGCAGCTCGGAAGAGAGGGGAGGGGTCAGCAGAGCTCATTAACATTTAAAGGAAAATGCTACAAAAACGGCTTGCTCTGAAAAGAGCTGTTTTTGACAGGGTAAAAAAGGTGTTTTTTACACTACCATTGATAAATTTTAACCAAACTATGTTACAGACTTTTCATTAAGACCCTAAAGAATCATATCAACTTGTGGAAAATGGGCATCCTATGACCCCTTTAAAGTTTGATCTTAAAGGATTATTTCACTCAGAAATGAAAATTAATCATTTATTCACCTTCATGTCGTTCTAAACCTGTATGACGTTTTTTTTTCTTTTGTGGAGCACAAAATAACATATTTTGAATGTTTTAACAGCTTTTGTCAATACAACCCCAAAGTGGGCCAAAAACAATAATGAACCCCACTGACTTTCAATGTACAGACACACACGGATACATTTTTCATTTTATATCATCTTTTATATTTTTTGGTTTAACGGTTTTGAATAACATGGTGAATTTTTTTTAGTTTTTTTTTTGAGTGAACTAACCCTTTAAGATTGACTTTAAATGATGTTTTTATTCAGCCAAAATGTGACCATCATCATTTTGGTAATTTCCTGAAGGATTATGGAGGCAAAATAACCTCATGTCTTTACAATATTAATTTTTGTCTGAACTATCCCTTCAAGAACAGATGAGTCTGAGATTGGCAACACTTTAAATAAAGGTATAATGCCTCTAGAATCTGCCTATGAAAATGAATTTGCTGGCCCAGTATCCCTACAACAGTGTAGTTTGCTGATCAGTAACTCGTGAAGCATTTAAGAACAAATGACTTCATACCAGATCCAGAGCTTCGGCTGAGCACTGTACTGCCGGATGACCTCACCGCAGCGCTCTCCAGCACACCCTCATTCAATTACCCACAGTCCTACGCTGGCCTGACAAGCCAGAATACAGGCCAGCCATCACAGCAGCTCTCATTCTCACTCAGCCGAACAGAGTGAATGCAGAAAAGCAGAGAGATTGTCTTTTTCATTTAAGAACTTGTAAACCAAGACGTTTATAAGTGTAACTGATGTATGAGGCCTATAGCAGATTAAAGGGCTCTGCTGAATGGAAGACTTCTTAGTCTACATGACTGCCAAGATGATGAAAGAGAAGATTACACCCCAACCACACAATCATATCATAGCTTCAGTGTAAACACAAGTCAGTAACCTCTGATGATCTCATTAGCCACCCAAGTGCTCACATGGCAGATATGCAGCTACGCCACATGACCCCAGAAACAAATATCACTCTAATGTTGGATTTTCAAAATCAACTTTAAAGGAGATTATGGAGTGAACACACTAGGGATTAGGGCTGCACGATTATGACAAAAATCATAATTGTCGATTATTCCCTTGAAATTGTAATTAATAATAATTACATAATAATTACGTAATTAATTACGATTATCACAATTTACATTGAATGATGTTTATACCATTGTTTGAAGCAACTGCATGCCATTTTTATATGAAAATAAACAAGCTGAAAACACTCTTCCTGAAAAACTTTTATTGCTTTTCTATAGTATTAAACCTCAAATGTCAACTATACATTGTATTGGTTTCTTCTTTAAATAAAAACTTAATAAATAAAAATATGCATGGTATTATAATGTTATACTAAAACTAAAATTAAAACAATGGAAAAACCCTTAAGATAACCTGTAGAAAGAAAAAAACACATCTTAAGCACGCAGAATAACATAAGTGGACTTAAGTGAACGATTAATTGCCGCTTTGAACGATTACATAATTGTGGCATTTGTAATTGTAATCGCGTTTAGAAATTCGATTAATTGATATTAAAATTCTGATATTAAAATTCTGGTCAATACTGATAAGCTGATAGTTATTTTCTATGTTATGGCTGATAACTGATAAATGGTCAATATTAAAATTAAATACTATTTTATGAAAATAAATAAAAAACTAAATACTAAAATCTGAAACCAATCATTTTAAATGTTTTAAATGCATTTTTAAGTGAATTCAGGTATCACAACCTTAAAATTTACAGTATGAAACATGAACATTCATTTGAATATTTGCTAAATATTACATTATTATTATAAAATTAACATTTAACAACAACCATAATAATAATAATAAATATAGATGCAAATATTACACTAAATTATTATTCATTTTTTTAAATGTTTTAAATTATTAGTGATTTAAAAGATATATGCATGCACAATTAAATATCTAATTCAATTTTAGCATGTATACTGTATCCATTGGTTAATTATAAAATCTCTAATTGATAAAATTATAATATGAAAATACTGTCAATGTCTAGAATGAACAGAATTATTGTTGATTTAAAGTAAAAGAATAGACTTACTTTTGCAAACAAGAAATTTGAGTACACTGTATAAAAATGTTTTCAAGTCATAAATCAAAGATTATTGAAGCATGTTCTACAAGAAAATACTCCTTCAGTCTTTCTACTACAAAAATGTATATTTATTTTAATGTGTTACCTGCCATTTCTTTGTAATTAATTGTGAAATTTACTTAGATTCTATGCCATTTTTTTCAGTATAGATTGAAATAAACCCTCACCGATAAAGGCTTAAAGGGTTAGTTCACCCAAAAATGAAAATTAGTCCATGGATTATTACGTTTTGAAGATAGATATTTTTCTTACAAAAACGCATCGATTCGCTACAGGAGGCCTTTGTTCACCCCCCGGAGCCGTGTGAGGCACTTTTTATTATGAATGGATGCACTTTATTTCACTTCTTTTGGACTGATGCACTGCAACACCCGCTGACTGCCATTAAACAGCTTGGAAGATCAAAGACCATTTTTCATATAACTCCGACTGGATTCATCTGAAAGAAGAAAGTCATATACACATAGGATTCATTGAGAGTGAGTAATTCATGGACTAATTTTCTTTTTTGGTGAACTAACCCTTTAAACTACAATTCAATAAAACCTTTAATGTAAAAACTCATGCAACAGCACAGCATCACAAGAGCAAGGAGAACTTCAGATGGTTTTCTCTAGCGCTGTGATGTCATATGAGGTTCCTTAATGCAAGAGATTAATAGTGGTTGACAGAACAGTGACACGCACTTCTATTCATCCTGGAACAAGGAAATCCCTTACTAACCACCCCAAACTCCTCTCTTCTTTTCCTCTTTTATCATCAGCCCTCGCCCAAAAGCCTTGAAGCACCAGCCAGCATACACACACATGACTACAGATGGCAATCAGGATGGCAGAACAACAAAAACACCCCAACAAATCAAAAACGACATCCTCCTCATTCTTTAGCTTGTCGGAAAGCTCTTGAGTTTCATTTTCATTGGAGAACGATCTGATGTAATAAAGGCGTAAGAGATTTTTCTCTGCATTGTTTCGTTCAAAACGAACACGTCAGTCTGAAAACAACATCAAACACCTTCAATCTCAGGAATGACAAATATGCTTCACCTAAACACTGTAAGAACCTGAAAAACATGACATTTGAGAGATGCCCTTCTGGAAACACTTGCTTCGGGAGCATCTCAGTGTAAGAAAACTGTCAACTACTATCAAATCCTTTCAAAATGATCCATCACAGCCAAGAGGATTTAAAAACTTTCTCAAAGTTGAGGGACTGAAGAAGGTCATAAAGGTTAAGTGCAGCACCTGAGGTACCACCATCCAGCTGAGGCAACATGTTTACCTGAACATGTAGATCATAAGATGGACAAGTTCTCAGACTAAAGACAGAAAACATGATGAGTTTACCGTTGCAGAACTGCAGCAGTGAAGAGGTGTCATAGAGACTGCTGTAGCTGGAGAAGCCGTCCTCCATTCTCTTCCTCCCTTCTTCCCTTTCTCTGATAACTCCCTGTTACTTTCGCTGGCTGGCCACTGCAGCTCTCTGTCCATTCAACATCCAGTCTTCTTCTAGGGTCAGCCTGCCAGTGTCAATCACCATGGCAACCCATTCAAGCTCGCTAACTCAGACGCTCTCCTTGAATAGGACTCCAAAAAAAGACAGTCAAAATATTTTCTGAAGTTATAAAATGCTTGTCTTTTTGTGCACTTTTTCTTCTCCGGTTCTTTCTGTGGTGTTTTCCTGTGTGAGATCTCCAGAAGAAAAATAAGCCAGTCCAGGGCTTAAGCTCTCAGAGGAGTGTGTGCGAGTGTTGGGAGTGTGTGAGCGTTTGTGTAATGTCGAGGACACTCTGCTGAGCTTGTCTGTGAGTCCCGGTCAGACAGCGGAAAACGGACCAATCAGAGCGCAGGGGGTGGAGCCTCTCTCAAAACATAAACCCTCCCCCTCCAGCTGACTGAGACTCAACTCTGACACTGTAGGAAACAGAACGGTGCTGGAGAAATTAAGCAAGAAAAGATGACTTTGCTGCATTAGAGGTGTCCTAAAATAGAAACAAGTTGGTGTGAATCGATATTTAGAGTTGGCAAAGGGCTACTATTGATTAAGGGTATTTTTGTGTGTTTTTACACGCTGATTCAGAATGTAGTTGTACTTAAACTGCACACTGGAGTAAAGAGGATTATGACTGTTTGTGGCTGAGGCTAAATCTAAGCTTCCATGTTTCATGGAAGCAGGAAAGACGCTGTACTGAGAAAAACGTTAAAAAAAAAAATCATAAACAAAAACAAACATATCTACATTATCATTTTAAAAGTTTGGGGTCAGTAAGATTTTTTTTAAATGTTTTTTTAAAATAAGTCTCTTATACTCAGCAAGGATGCATTTATTTGATTAAAAATACAGTAAAAATAGTAGTATTGTGAAATATTATACCGTTTCAAATGACTGTTATTTAAATGAATATTTATAAAAATTTAATTTTTTCCTGTGTTGGCAAAGCAGACTTTTCAGCAGCCGCTACTCCAGTTACATAATTCCTCAGAAATCATTTTAATATGCTGATTTAGTCAAATAACATCTCTTATTATTATCAATGTTGAAAACAAATCTTGTGCTGCTTAATGTTTTTTGTAAACCGTGATACGTCTTTTCAGGATTTTTGTATGAATAGAAAGAGCACAAATTATTTGACAAAAATTGTAACAACATAAATGTCTATACTGTCACTTTTGATCAATTTAATACATCCTGAATTAAAGTATTAATTACAATAAAAAAACCATACTGACCCTAAATTTTTGAGCAATAGAAAAAAAATCATATACATATATGCAAATATACTTATTTATATTTTGAACTAAACAAGCTATACTAACAAAAGGCATCTATACACTGAAGTTATATTGAAGTATCTTTAAATAATGATGTATTATTTTTGTTTGCAATCAGAGCATTATTTGCGCTCACAAAGAACTTACTAAAAATGACCGACTTAGGTAGGGTTTACATGAACACTAAAACAATCAATAAAGTTAAAAATAACCACAATTTATATAACAAGGTGAAGTGATTAATGGCAATATTTGACAAAATATTTCAACAAAATGTAGCATCATAAATGAATCTTTTTTTCTAATCAGCTCATTTAAATGAATGACCTATTTAAACAAATTCACTAAAATTAATCAGATTTCCAAACGCTTCATATGAAATAGTAAGTGGATATTTTGGTAACACTTTATTTTAAGGTGTCCTTGTTACACATTACATGTACTTACTATTATAATAACAATAAATTATGCATAATTGCATGCAAGTAACCCTAAGTCAAACCCTAATCCTGACCCTCACCATATAGTGAATGTAGTTCATCAATATTACTCAGTACTTAAATGTACAATTACACTGTAACAAGGACACATTAAAATAAAATGTAAGTGATATTTTTGATTATATTCCCAGTTCACTCAGCTGTAAATGCAACGCAACAAAAATAGTGACATACTCTTGAGTTTTGTCATGCTACACCACAAGTAATCAGAAAAAAATAGCTACACTGCTACACTGTTTTAAAAAGCCGCTGTCATACTACTTTAAACTATTTGTAAGTTACCCCAACACTGCAGACAGTAAAGAAATAAAGCAGTGCTTCCCGCATGAGGAGGAAGGTTTTTGGGGACTTTTCCACATATGAGACACAATACATGACCTCACTTTCCACTCTTTATTCCACAATACAAACAAGCTTTCGGAGTAAAAATTAGAGCTAAACACTGACTATTCAACCCTTATCTGCCTTCAGACAGACAAAGCAGTCTGGACGACCATCAAAGAGAAACCAAGGTTGGCAGCGTGTATCTCAGTTTTGACTGTGGGTCGTCACAGGGGAAAACCTCTTTAAATTATTCAAGAGACAGGCGCATACGGTAGAATATGCATAAGAATGACGACGTGGCCAATATTTACACATCTTCAAACAGACAAAACACAGTCAAATGAAAAAAAAATAGGATAGAAAAGCTGCAAGAGCCTCTTTAAAGATTATTCTCCTGACCCCATCCCCCAACCTCAAATTATGGCAAGTGGAAGAGAGCTGTGTTAAATTGGATTTCTGGGGTTTCTGTGTCCAATTTGGCCATGGCTTTGCCTCAAAAGCCTAAAAAAAAATGAAATGATCCGAGGGGTGGATGATGAGACATTTTCATGTCCCACTGGTGTCTCTCTTTCTCTCTCTTGTCCCGAGGCCAGCAGTGCTGCTTGAATCTGGCATCAGAGAGCCTATAGTGTTCATTCTTAGACCCCATAACAGTGCTGACACTGCCACTTCTGTCTGTCCCGCTAAAGATCAAATCAAGGATTAGCCCCAGAAGGCAGCCATCCATTTTTCCTGCATTCTTTTTTACATGATGTCTCTTCCTCTGAAATCATTAAAAAAGGGACCTTTGATCATGTCAATTAATTGTTTTCATATTCAGTTTGCGATTTTAATGCCATTGCACTAGTAATACATAATATATGTGTTACTACATAATACATTTTTATTTTATAACGTAATTAAATACAGTCAATATTTAGCATGTTCATAAAGGATTTCTGGTTTTATTTTTAGTTAGAAACAAATTGAGCCAGTGCATAACAATATAAAGTGCTCAAAAAAAGTTTTGTCTTGTCCTGAATCATGATGGTAAGCCTACAGTAATGGTTTACATTTATTAGCTGTCTTCTTTGAGAAATTTCAAGCTTCTGTCATTCACCGTTCTGTGTTTAAGTCATTTCTAACTCACAGTGATTTTTTTTATTCCTAAAAACTTTGCTTCATACAGTAAAAGTTTTTAATCAAGTACAAAACAGTATAAAATAAAATAAAATAAAATACAAAACAGTGCCTATAATAGTGATTTATATTCTGAGCTGTCACAGCTGCTCTGATGTGGTGATCACATGGTCAGTCGTGGCCTAATGGTTAGAGAGTTGGACTCGTAACCCAAAGGTTGCGGGTTCGAGTCTCGTACTGGCAGGGATTGTAGGTGGGGGGAGTGAATGTACAGCGCTCTCTCCCACCTTCAATACCATGACTGAGATGCCCTTGAGCAAGGCACTGAAACCCCAATTGCTCCCCGGGCGCCGCAGCAAAAAATGGCTGCCCACTGCTCCGGGTGTGTGTTCACTGCTGTGTGTGTGCACTTTGGATGGGATAAATGCAGAGCACTAATTCTGAGTATGGGTCACCATACTTGGCCACATGTCACGTCACTTTCACATGAAATGTCAAATCATCAGATGCATCCATGCATGAAGCATTTTGTCATAAAAAAGCTGATGTAAATTTTAATATATATATATATATACACATACACTTTTAACAGCAATAGTGAAAACATTAGCAATACAGAAAAAATGTGAAACTACTCTATTCATATTGATATTCTATGATTCTCAAATTTTGATTTTCTAAGATTTCCTTTCTATTATTTGACTTTTACTGGTGACATTCTATCATTTTGCTATAGAACAGCACAAGCACTTTTTGATGATTTTTTTGGCGTCGACTGCCTGCGTGTTAATCGAGACAAATATAGTCCAGTGGTGGTGCTGTGAGATTAGAGAGTGCACAGACCCCTGGAGAGAGACACCAGCTGGGGGAAGGGAGAGAGGCTGGGAGAAGCACTTCATCATCTCTGTGTAAGTCTGGGGATCCCTCGGGTGGCAGCCGAACAGTGCTACAGTACACCCTCCTATTGTTCTCCAATTATGCTGGCTGCACCTTTTTCATTCAAACACATATGCACACACTTAAACAAACACAAAATGATACACACATATGCATCATAAAGGAGCTTCTTGGGGATTAGCTATATTCGGCACCTGACATAGTTCCAGTTTTTTTTTGTAAGGAAAATTATACTGTATAATACAGGGGTGCCCAACCCTGCTCCTGGCGATGACTGTCCTGCAAAGTTCAGCTCCAACCCTAATCAAACACACCTGAAGCAACTAATTAGGGTCTTCAGGATCACTTAAAAATTAAAGGCAGGTGTCTTTGATTAGAGTTGGAGCTAAACTTTGCAGAACAGTCGATCGCCAAGAGCAGGGTTGGGCACCCCTGCTTTAAGTGAACTTTACATCAGACCGACTGAAAGGGAACTAGGAAGCACTGCCTCTAAACCTACAGTGAGTCAAGATTATACACAAACAAGAAGAGTAGCAATCTATCCACTGCTCCTATCCACTGTATCCATCTGCTCCAGAGAATTTTTTTATATTAAAAATAAAATAAATGTATTAAATTTTGTAAAATAATTTATTTGTTTTATTCATTTTTATTTAGGTTTTTTTTGTTAAAATTTTTGTTTTAATTTAATTTTTATGCTGAAAACCAGAAAATAATTTTCCAAGTAACCTACAAATGCAAAACTACACGGCCTTGCAGATCTACATACAAAGGAACCACATTTTGTGGCATTTAGTTCAAGCTAGCTATTGTTAAATAATATTACAATAATAGTATACAACAATCTGCCTACTGTACATGAAAAATGGCATTAATGTTTGCAATCAGCTGACATTTTTCCTCCTCCAGTAGAACTACAACTGCATTAATGGCATAGTCATAAGCAATGTCAGGAGGTTGTGTTGATAATCTCAGGGTAATAGACTTTGCAATCAGCTGACATTTTTCCTCCTCCAGTAGAACTACAACTGCATTAATGGCATGTCATAAGCAATGTC